CTAAATGAGTAGTTACACAAATACTATCACTGGCTGTCACAAACTCCTGAACAATCAGATTCGTCTCTTCATTCCTGTCCCTAATTTCTTTGTAGCACTGTACAAATCAAGAACAGGGTTTCTGTCCAATTATTTTAATTCACTCATCAATTTACTCTAATTTATGACTACAGGAAGAGAAACCCCCTAGTGACAAAGGAGAACAAGTAGCCCCAGAACAGTCCCAAAGAGTCCCAAGTAGGTACACAAAATAGTTTTACTTAAAATACGAATAACTGTATGAAACAAGGTAAGGAAAATATAGCATAAAACCACAAAACTACTTCACGTGATATAAATCACACTAGTTTATGAAGCTCTATTTGTATTTTTTTAAAAAACCTTTAAAAACATCCTAGCAATGAGACACTCATCTCCATATTTAAAATCCATTTTTAAAAGACAAACAAATCCCCCACAACAATGACAGACATCAAGAACAGCTGGAAATGAAATCCTGGATTTGAGAACTAGAGGAACACAGCTACAGAGCAGAGTCCAACATCCATTACCTAACTGCTAATGTGGCCCTGCATTATGACAGACATGGCAACAACAGAGATATTTAATTTATCACTCTGTACAAATTTTTTGTCTGGGGTTTTCTTTATTTCACTGGTTGCCTAAACCAAACAGACCCTGCTCGTGGTAGGTTCTAAAGTCAGGCAAGAGAAGGTTCATGTCCCTCATTTCCCAGGTTAACTGCTCTTGGCTGCCCTGCACTCCCAGCTCTGGCACAGCTGCAGGATGCCCGGCTCTCCCAGCTCTGCTAAAGGCAAACACGAGCCTGTAATGCGGGACCATTTCCACCTGCCCTCTGGCATTTCCTGTATGTACTTTCCACCGACTCTGTAGATTAGGAGGAGGATTTTGGTTCTGAATGGAGTGTTTGGGGCTTTAAGTAATGCTAAAGGTCTGCAACACGCCAAGCCTTTCAAACTTTGTATATCCTGCTTATTGCTTTTTCCCTTCTTTTTCTGAGAGAACCAGTATTTAACTGGCAAACAGCTTGCTACCGAATGTACATAATTACTGTCCAGTGTGCAGGTTAAAGAACCCAGTGCAGTTAACACAGGAAACCATGAGTATTTTTATTATACAGACACTCCTGCAGATAGTTAGTGTAAGCCATCTATTTAAATCCTGAATTAGGGGAATCCCACATTATGATAAAATAAGAAAGGAGAACATGGAGTGTCAGCAAAATAAAACTAATATATCCATCATAAAACTAATCAGGCAACTGAAAACTAATTCTACATGCAGCAAGATTAAGATTTCAGATACAAAAATGGTGCAGAATAAGATCACAGTCAAAACAGGTCAGAATTTTTCCACATATTTGATACATCAAGGTATTAGGATTCCTTATCCTTTTTCTTTTCTTATTTTTTATCAGAACCAGATCCAAGTTTATTTACAAATTGTCATTCACAGACTGAAAACAAATATTGCACTGCCTTCTTTCCAACATCTCCCACAACTGGGGATGAGATTTGCATTCAAACACTTTAAGTGCACAAATACCACAACAGACTGCAACAACAGTTCACAACAAAGCAGTAAGAGATCCTTTTATTCACAGTGTAACTTGAAATCATTCCCAATAAATCAGTAACGGCTTTGTTACCAACTTCTGAAGGTAAATTTGAGCCCTGCTCCTTTGGGACAATCTCACCATGCAAATGAACATATATGGGCCTCTCCCAGGCAACCAGACACTCGGCTACCTTCAGTTTGGGAACTGGAGCATGTTATCCAGTATGAAAGAGCCCCACATAGGAGGGTTCAGCACAAAAGGCTGGCTATTTGCACTTAAGCTGATAGAGCAAGCTGCTCACAAATCTCTACAATAAAATGTTCCACCTAGCTTGGCTCCTTCTTAGCCTATGAAATATCTTAAAAAGAGACCCTGGTATGTAAAAAAAGAAAGAAGACAAAATTGTACAAGCATCTTACACAGAAATGGAAGGAGTTACCTTATAATTCTATTAATTAATTTTTTTTTTAAAACTAATAATCCTTAGAATCACTGGCAGTAAGACACAGTAGCAATTTCTGTGAAGCAATATAGCTGCGGTTTCAAAATTCCTGGTTGGCACTGTGGTGCTCATTCAGAGCCAAAGCAGACTTTCAGCATAATGAATCCTTACACTCCAGCAAGGCTTCACCTCGCAGGGAAGCCTTGCTTCTACCTTTCCTGGTTGGCACTGTGGTGCTCATTCAGAGCCAAAGCAGACTTTCGCAGGGAAGCCTTGCTTCTACCTCGTAGAACCTCTGTTACACAACTGCAATCATCCACGACAGGTTAATGCCAGCAGCACTGCTTGGTGCATCACCTGTGCCCCTCAGTTCCCAACTAACAGCAACCACTAACATCCCCTCTAATGAGTCACAGCTACATATAGCTGTACTAAACAGCTGAACAGTAAAAACACTGACAGGTACAGTATATTTATAGCATATCACCTATGGAGATTTAAGGAAAACAGTATTTGTTGAGGTGCCAAGTTGTAAATTGCTCTGCATATTCATTCCAACGCTTGGGATGCAGCTGCAAATCTATTGAGAATCTCCTAAATGCATTTCTTCCATCAGGGTGATGACTACTGGACTGCAGCCCATTTTGCCCCCACTGCCAGTTTATCCACTCTGTACAGGCATTATTACACTGACAGAAGTGGTCACAGTAGCACATCCTGTTCTCTAACAAACCAACTAGGTAAGGTCCAAAGTGCTGCAGGCAAGGAACAAAACTCCTCAGAGTATACTAACATGGCAATGGGAGGAAAAATAGTGTAGCAAACAGAAATAACAAAGAAATAATAGATTTAGAGAGCCTTCTTTATAAATCACATGTGGTTTATACTCCCTGCAACCCAGCTGAATGAAAACTTTCCTTCCTATAATGCAAAGAAGTTTTACTATATGAACAAGTAACATATTCCTCAAACACTGCCAAATTTGAGTCCCAAGAGGCAACTTGCCATTAATCATCTGTTCAACACTGTATGTGTTTCAGAACATCTCTTGCCAGTCCTTCCACTTCTGCTTTTCTTGTGTTTTGCATTCCTAATATTGTGGTCTTCCACAAAATAATACCTTCTTTCCCTTTTGGATATAATCACTTGTAGAGCTGACTTGCTACTAAATGGGTAAAGAAAAGTTTAAGGTTTTTTCTGGTACCTGGTATCTCTCTCTGCTTTTCTTTGCAGGAGCAGTGATAACAATAACAGACTGACCCTTCAGAAAGTCTTAATCGCCCACTCCTCAATAAAAACCAAGTTCATAAAGACATTAACCTTAAAAGCTACTGAAACCAGGACTATAGTTACAGATCTGGGCAGGACTAAGTTGTGGAAAGTGAAACTGACCACACAAAGGCTACAATAAACCTGGAGGACAAAAGTAGCAATATGTTGGCTATTAAATTTTAAAAGTGAAAGATGAGGAGAACCTAAAAAAATTATAAATGCTAAAAAAAATATATCCCTTTACGTTCAGTAGTTAAAACTACGGACAAAGAGCATTTCTTTTTAGAAAAAAGCTTTTCAAAACTTAGTCTGACCTTCGAACCATCTCTTTGTGAAGTAATTCTGCAGCAAGAGCAGCAGCAATGCACAACCCCAAGCAGTTTTAAGATGCTTGAAAGAGCTACAAGAGCATTTAAACAACAGCATGCTAAATAAAGCAACTGGTAAGACTCACACAGGTTTCTTTTAGTCCAGTAAAGCTGTCTTAGATTTCAGGTGAGTTTTGTCCCAGCTTTATACGGAAGTAACTGGAAGTACGAAGTCCTTCCTACTGAAGAGGGATGCACAGTCCAGAAGACTTGCTAACCATTCATTAAACCAGTAAGAAGGAACACTTGGACATGCCTACAAATAAGTTTAAACACACTACAAATATATATAAGCAACGAATTTAGAAGAACTGTATTATGAGGAGGTCTTTTTTGCTAGCATTTTCAGGTCTAACAGAACTATCACTTGAAAAAGAGGCATAAAGTTTCCAGACAAAATTTAAGCAGGGACTAGAATCTCTTAACTGATCTTTTTGAGATGCAAGACTCAGCACGTTTTTCCAAATTCTGAGAAGGTTGCACAGCTCTCCATGGCAACCCAGGATACATGAGCCCTGCAGTCACTGGCAAGGATCTAAGAGGAACAGCACATTAGGCTGAAAAAGCTTCTAAAGCAGAAGAAAGGCCACAGCTTCAGGGTGGGGTAGAATTTGTGTCTTGGCAATCCGGTCAATAAAGGCATAGAGAGCAGTTTCTGATTTACTGTACCCCTCCACAGGAAAAAGTGAAAAAGCAACAAAAAGGCAGGAACTACACCAGCAAACCCTACAGTCTAGTAGATAAATGAGACTAGGTTTGGTATAATCGGAGTTCAGAAATGCCACAACACAATGTCTAACTCAAACTCTCGAACAAGAGTTTAGACTTGCTCCCTGTACACCTCACTCCTTGCAGATTTTTGGTTCCGGTTCTATCACCGCCTGTTTCACTCCTGCCCTTACGCTTTCATTTCATTTACCCATCTCGTTAGCACAAGCGCCCAAAGCCGCCGCCGCACCGCCCTGCTGGCACCGGCTCCTTTAGAGCCTCCGGGGCGACCGTGCCACACAGCCCACCCGCGCCGGCACCGGCAGCTCCCGCCTTTGTTGGCCAAGGGCGCCCGGCGGCGGCCGGCACACGGCACCGGGCCGCACCGCCGCTTCAATGGCCAACACACCGCCCCGCTCGGCGCCGCGGCACTGCCGGGGCCACCTTCCGGGCCCCCGTTCTGGCACCCAGCGCTCTCCGCCGCACCGCTCACCTGTGCGCCGGGCCGGCGGGGCTGCGAGAGGACAGCGGGGCTCCGAGGGGCCGGCGCTGTGCGAGCCGGGCTGCCTGGCGGGGCCGAGCGCGCGGGGCGGGCGGGGCGCGGGAGCCGCGGCACCGCCCGGGCCCGGCCGGGAATGGCACGGCCGCGCTGCCGCCCATGGGAAAGAGAGGCTGCAAGTGCCCCTCTGCCGCCTCGAGCGCCTGCAGATAAGGTGAAACAATGCATTTTGTGTTGACGAGCTGCTAATTGATTGCATTTTATTTGATAGACCGGGGCGAAAAGTAAATTGGGAAAAAAGTTTGTCATCTTTAGCTTATGCTCTAGACAAAGAAACGCTTTAGAGTGAGGGAGGAAAGGGGTGGGGGGATGTGTTGGGGATTTTTCAGCCTGAGGTTGAACTCCAGTACCACTCGTGGCTCTGTTACCAAGTTTTCTTGTCCTCACCACTACAGTGGGATGAATGAGCAAGGACAGGGAGCTGGCCGCAGCTGCTGCGCCCGATGCTTTTGGCATTTGTGACTTATTTCCTTCAGCAGACTTGCACTAGTGCAAATAGGGAAGCATCCATGTCAGCACGATTGCGCTAAAAAAGCTACAGTAGGGAGATAATTAAATATTAATTATATAGATAACTAGGTATTATTGTCACGTATATTTGAGTATAAAATAACTATTAATCATACATTCCAGATTTTGATCCATGCAATAATAAAAGCTGTGGACAAAACCAGCAAAGCAATGGCATTGATATTCTACGGAAAGTGGATATGGAGACTACAAAAAAGTGCAAACTGTCAGACTGGATGAAAACCCAAATGAATAATTCATTTTCAGATGCATTAGGCTGTAGCACAGATGCAACTGAAGAGGAAGAAGATTACTTAGTTGATGATGGAGATGCAAGAATAAGCTGTAAATACAACAATAACTCAGATAATTTGAATGCCTGTAGTTATACAAAAGATATTTCTGGTATTTTAAACTTAGCCTGTTCTGAAGATAACAAAAACATAAAAGCAGCAGCCAATTATGAAACTCCTCTACAGCCTGAAGAATTCTCCAGTTATCACAGAGGCACCAGAGGAACAACTGGAGTTCCAACTGAAATGCCTGGAAGTGAAGCTCCCTTTCAGAAGGAATTACCTGTTGGTAGCTCCAGTACACCAGACAGCAAAGAACAGGTAACTACCTCCAAGATGTCCAAGGTCCTCCTGCGTCATTTTCCTAGGGGAGAGCTACTAAGCACATGCCACTTAATTGAATGTGAGACAATACCAGAGGTGTCCTTTACTGAAAGTATCGATGACACTGGGAGCAAACCTGAGCCTTCAGAACACAGCAAAGGCTCTTTAGTGTTTGAACAATGGGCAACGGGCTCTGAGGAGTATCCCTCAGAACAGCACGAAAAACTAAAGGCTCGTGACAAAAATGGAAACTCATTAAATGGAAATAGATCTGTTTCAAAGAAAGCTATTTTTTCTTCTGGTCAGTGTAGGTGCAGACAAGAATATTCCCAATTGATTAATGAGACTGGAGATACACACACCTTTCAAAACATGAAAGATGAGAGAGCCCTGTTTAAGAGAACAGTTTCACCCTGTAAGCTCCAATACAGCCAAGGACAAGCTCACTATTGCCTTCCTGGCTTCTCTGAAATTGCTTCACAAGTTCAAGTACCAAAAACACCTGACAATATTACCTCAGTTCCTTCAACTGAAAGAGAAAAACCTTTTCCCGTTTTGCAAAGTAAATCAGTAACTGTGAACAACATTTTGGAAAATAATAATTACTTCAATTCTGCTGAAGTAGAGAATCAAGAAGAAAGGAGTATTTCAGAACTGCTGCGACAGCTACAGGTAATTAGGATGCTTGAACAAATTCTTCCTACTGGATAAGAGTAGTTCATTGTAAGAAGATATTCTTATCCCATAAAATGTAACATGACTAGCTCTATAGGCACTCTGTAGGGAGCAGTGAGTACATAATCTGACTCAAAAACTACTTTCACAAATAAAGTTCTGTCGGGCTGTATACTGAACTGTCATTACCAATTAATTAAAGGCCAAGTAGTATTTAATACTCCAGTATTTAACACTGGACCATTGTTTGTGATGATAATGACTTGATCCTATCAAATCATTAGGAAATCCACTATAAAGTGTTATTTCTAGTGTTAAATGTTTAAAATCATTAAAAATACTTCAAATACATTTTTAAGAACAAGGTTCTATTTTTTACTGTGCCCATGTTATGTTTTTTCACATCTAACACTCTTCAGCTACTGAGACTGGTATTTATTGACAAGTCAGTTCTCTCTAAAGGATTTTTTTTGACAGCAATATTTCTTTTACTGTTGTGAATTTATTTTAAAGCTTGTTAGTAATTAGATAACCACTGCTCAATTTCATGCCCTGACATGGAGCTGACTCACTGAACTTTACAGGTTCTTAATAATGCTCCTAGATTTACATCTTAGTAAACTGCTTGAGATACAACAAGTTTTAATAGTTTTCCCTATTATTTCCTGGCTGCAAATGAGATGCTGACACAGCATGCTGACATCCAGAATCATATTGACCATCTGAGATTTAATCCTAAGGTAAATCTCTCAAAATACTTTTTTTTAAGTTATTCTTCTTTACCTCCAAGAGTATGACTATCCCCCTAAAACTATTTTGTCACATTCATATGGTATTTCCCATTTATACAAATCCTCTGTATTTTCAAAACACAGAAAAGTACTTTAAGTATTTATACAGTGAGACACTTGACACATCTGTCAACTCAGAAAATGAAATGGTACTGCTATAATAAACATTTCAATAATATTTTGCACTTTGAGTTAGTTTTTTGTCTAGGTCCATAAGTGTTCTATACATTGTATCTATAATGAAGGTTCTCATTTTAACAGATACTTCCTCAGTCAGACTTTGCAAATGCCAACATTGCCATTTCCTCAGGACACACTGGGACACCACCTGATGTCATCACATTCCGTGCTCCTGTCCCTGTACAACCTACACACGGTGTGCTTAAAGCAAGTAAATAAAGTTACAGTAGCTATGCAAATGACTATTTAATGTAATTTGATTACATTTTTGGGCCGAAATAGCAATTGATCAATATTCCATAGGACTGCAGCCTGGAATAGCAGCATCAGCACTTCCAGCAGCTGGGACAGTAAAAGCAGATTGTTTCAATCCTTCTGATTCACTGCCAGAACTAACACTAGGAGAAAAGATGTCTCAAATACTAAAGGATCAGACAGAGCAACTGACTAAGAAAGTAAGAGATCTGTTTCAATACATACTTTGCACTTTGCTCAAATTCCATACTCTCTTGGCAAATTTGTTTAAATATAACAATTAAGTCTAATATTTTCTCTTGAAGGTGGAAGACTTCTCTGAGCATATGATCCAGGAAACACTCTTTTCACAGGACAAGTATCTGGTAAATGGATTTATGTATTTTGAGCTATCTGAAATGCATTTGAAATGGCTGTAAACTGACAATTTTCTGGCAAGATTCTTGATGTTTACCTGAAATGGATATTTACTCTTCTCAATTCAGACTGAAAGTATGAAATTAGGAAGCAAAAATGAAGGTGTTTAGTAGGTGGACAAATTCTTAAATCTTTTAAGGATTCTGATTTAAAACTATTAATAAAAGGCCTGAAGTTGCCATATAAGTTAGGAATTTTGACATGTAGGGCATCAGTGCAGAAATAACTTTTATTATTTCACTTGGACATAATAAAGCAGCACAGAGTATTAGGGGAATATACAATATGCAGTCCTGTTTCAATTCAGAGAACTACCAAAATTCTTACCAACAGCACTGCAAATAACATCTGGCTTAGATAGCAAGACATAGTGACAGCTACTTATGCTAAGTTATCGTGACATTTTGTATTGAAATATTTCTTATTGATGAAGGCATTAAAGCAACTGAAAAGATACCTTGATGCCTTGGAAAGAAATTATTTAAAAGCTAGAGAAGAGCACCACAACTTACAGCTGCAGAACTACAAGGACAAGCCTATCAACCTCGGAGAGTTTGATCCTGAGAGGTTAGAAGAGAAGTGCTAAGTAGTACATCAGTATATTTTCTTTGACTGTCTTACAGATTTTGCTTCCATTAGAATTTGCTATCCATTAGAGTTTTCCTGAAATGAAAATATTAATGTGGTAAACTGTAAGTTGTTTGGCCAAAATTCACCTTGGGCTTTATATATCCTACTTATAATTGGATACCTATTTGATTAATTCAAATACTTCAAAGGGACTCTGACAACTCCAAACATTTTATTGTTTTATTTTATGGGAAATGCACTGCGATGTCCACTATGGTTATCATGGTGAGAAATAAAAGATCACTTTAGAGAGTTTTAAGTAACTGTGAGTTGTGATTGGATTTAGAAGGGTGGAAGGAGGAATATTCAGACTTGGCATGCTTCTTGAAGACATTCAAGAACAAATGGAAGGCAGCAAAGGCAGCCTGTCATCATTACCAACTTCCTATGAATCTGCCCAGTCTTTGTGTGAGGTAACTGACTTTTATTAACACAGCCATTATTCTGTTTTATTGATGCAAGTCTTGAGAACCTAAGTGTAGTTGTGTGATTGTATGTTCTTCTCTAGTAAGAGCATGATGCTTTTAGATAGCACATTACTTCAAAAGAAAATATTTTAAATGAAATACTAACTTTGTAATATGTAATTAACTGTAACAGAAACCCAAGTATAAAAACAAAACTATACTGAATGTTCTTAGTTCCAGTTTCAAAAGCATTTTTTTCACAGTAAGAAAATATGAGTAGCTAATTTAACTTCTGCAAAGCTGTTTTGGGGAATTAATCACTATCATGTTGTGGGAGGAAAAATTACTTTGTCCAAGATCTTAAGCTGCCAAATTACTAGAAGACCAAACAGTATTGTGCTACAGAAAGTTGAGTTTACTCCTAAGAATGGTAATATTTCCTCCCAGATCATAAATACACATACACACTCCCACCCCCAAAAAAATCTTACCGTCTTCTACAAATCTACAGGTAAGGCTCAACAAATGCTTTCATAACCAATGTTTTAGGTAACTTGGGTTTCAGAGAAAAACGCTAAGAGAGCCTGAGGAGAGGCTGTTTGGTAGGAATCCAAAGTTTTGTTGGTTTGGTTCCTTGCAATGCAAGGCCCACCTACACCTGTGTCTATGCTTTGTTACTTTGTACAGAGCTTGGCAGTTTCAAGTGCTGCTGATCTTCCACAAATAAGAGGTACTGAAAGTCCATCTTTTCACAAGGAGCATGAGGGAGAAAGAAATCAGACAACTGATGTAATCCCACCAGCAAATCAACTTTCTTTAGAGGGCAAGAAGTGCAATCTTTGTCTGCACATGTAAGTGAAAACTTGGAAACAGCTATTGAAGTTTTTATAAAGACATACATAAAATTAATTGCTGAATAAGAAAATTAGGATGACTGAAATCTGAAAAGCAACATGAATATTTCCAGAATAAAAACTATACAGAATTATATAACTGCATATGTAAGACTTCCTCCTAGCCAGGTCTTCCTACCTTTTTCAGTCTGAAAGTATTTCCTGAAGCCAAAACACCACCATCACTTGCACCTAGGAGTTAAATCATACTTCTGTGTAAAACTTATGACAGCCACACAAATTCAGGATGTGAATATCTAGTCACAGTGCCAGTAAAAGATAATTTGCCAATATTTGTGTGGTATTTTTATTTAAACAAGAAAAGGGGAGGGATGCAGATTCTTACATAATTAACAATCCAAACCTTGTGAAAACTCTAAATACCATCTCCACCCTCCTGGGAAGCATTACATAGGTACTAAACATCTCAATGAGATTAGAAAAATAAGTGGTCCCCCCTTAACCAATCTAAGGTTAAAAAAAAAGAATTCAACTAAGTTCCAGTAGAGAAGCAGAGCTTTTGGGAAAAGAATGCATGCAGCATAGAGCACAGTCATATTAACCTAATTCTGTCAAATTATTTTATAGGGTAGGTGCTAATAGTTGTCTAGTAAAACTCACCTAGCTTCCACTTTTTTGTCTGTCATTGAAAGACTGTTAGTTCAATCTTCTGATCATTATGTTTATGAATAGGCAGAAAATTTTCCAAATAAACGTGGTGATCCTGTACACCCCAAGTTAAAAATACACATCAAGTAACTCAAACAAGGAACCTTGTTCTTTTTCTCTCAGAAGGTACATGTCAAACATTCCTCTAATTATCTAAAGGCATTAAATTAAAGCCTTAATAACTGCTCAAAGTTACTGAGACAACAAATCATATTTAACGTATGTTGTATCAAAACACAGTGGTAACAAATGGATGTATCTAAGATTTCATACTACTTTACTATTCCAATACAGGATTATCTTTTAAGCATTTTTAACAGTTGTGGGAAGTCACGGTGCTTTTGTCAGAATGTGTCCTTTAACTAAAGGGTTAATTATTTTTTTAACTGGTTAATTATTAAACTTCTGCTTACCACTTTTTCAGATAGCTGATACAAGTAAAGTTCTTTCTGTGAATAAATATTATTTCTTCTCAATTAAGAAGTAATAATTAGTATAAGATTTGTAAGTCTCATTATAGAAATATTAAGATACAATAAAAATATTCTGTTTTCATGCTCAAAGAAAGGCAAACATCCAGGAAGGAAAAACTGGAACATCTCTACTCTTCATGCAGAGAAAACCAACTGATTTATCAGATACCAACCTGAGTAAGTCATGAGGGCATATAAAGGTCAGAACCATGCTTAAACCTGCTAGGGAATCCTGTGCAGAAATACATTCCTTTTATGTCTCAACATGAAAATTGTAGTTTTAACAGATGTTACTGCTTAGCAGAGCACAAAACACTAAGAATAAAAAGGAAACTAAAAAGAACACCAGGTCAAATTCACTGTGGAACTCTCAATGACAGACCAAGAGGCAACAGACACATTGCAATGCAATTTTCAGCTAGATATAAATGAAAGATTTTTAACTTGGTCGAACATTGAAACAGCTTGCTCTAGGGAGCCTGTGGCACATCCACTCTCAGAGATATTCAGAACTCAACTGGACATGGTTCTAAGCAACTTCCTTTAAGTTGGGCCTGCTTTGAGAGGGGACAGACCTCCAGAAGTCCTGTCCAGCCTGAATTACTCTATAAATCTAATGCAGCTTTTTAGATAAGTTTCCAAATATTGCCACTGCTATTACTTTCAAGAGCTTGACAGTGACATGCACACAATGCTTTGATTTTGCTTTTTCTTCTGATCTGCATTTATTTCATGTTCTAGAAGATGATTCCAAGCTTGACAACTGAGACATTTCATATCAGTACTTCCACTTTCAGTTTTTGGATTCAACTTCATTCTTCTGCTTAAAAACAATTTTACTTTTCCACTGCAGGATATTCTGAAGCTTTTAGTAACTAGAAACTAAAGGAGAACAGCATGAGCTGTCCTACATTCAGTTTTAAGTCTGAATATACAGGTTTTCTTACCTTTTGTCAAATCAGTTGTCCTTGACTTTGTGATATACTTTTAATTTAATATAACACACTGGGATTGTTGTTTGTACTGGTTGGTGCAATAGTTAAAGCAGTGCCACACTAGAGCTGCACAAATTCTCATCCCATTCCTATTTTGCTACACTGTTCCCATAACACTGTGGACAGGGACATGGAGAACATCCTTAAAGAAAAAAAACAACAATTCTTGGTCTGAAAATAAGCACCACCAGAAAATTAGATTCCAAGCTTGCAGACAGGGCTGAAAGCTAATCTTTAACTCAATCCCCACTCTCCTGGGGGTGAAAAGTACTTCCTCAAATTGCAGTAGTATTAATGGCAGCAAAATGCTCTGAAAGTACAGTGCTGAAAGCCAAATAATTACCTCAGTACATCAGCCAAAGCATCTCATATTTCAGACCCTTTTAACTTATTTTTTGAATTTTAGGCAGCAATTCAGAAGATTTCTCAGCCTGTGATTCTTGTGATTCACAAAGCAAGGACCATGTCACTCTAAATTACAAATCATTAAATACAAGATTATGTGGAGAGAGACAAGGTACAGTGATTGCAAAAATATGAGCATCTACAAGGAAACATTGCTTGTAGTTTTGTTTTTCTAAACCATGCATCTCTGTTTCCAGGATTTAGATGCAGATGCCCCAGGGGAAGCAGAGATCAAGTAGAACTCAGGAATTACAAAGAGTCTGTTCAGTCTTGTACCCTGTGTAGAAAAAGAAGCTCTGGTTCATCCTGTAAGTATGATGTGTAGTTAACAAACACAGGCTAGCTTTTTAGGGGCAGAAAGCCATACTGCACATACCAGGCCACATTTAATTTAGTATAAGCAGTCATTAGCACTGTAAATCCAACTTTTACACACCTGGTCAAGTTTAATCTCCATGCACAACAGATTTAACTTTCCCTGCTTCTTTATGAGTGGAATCCCTTTCATATTTCATTTATAGCAGGAATATCTCATTTTGCAGATTCACATGAAAGGACATGAAAATTAGGCATTACTGTGCCAACTTTTATAGTGCCAGCAATTACCTAACGTAGTATAAACAAGTACTAAAGAAAATTCCAGCTCTACCCTCATATTGTGTGACATGCAGCAAAGTCAAGGGGAGCCTAATTTAAAAAAAAATTAAATCATCTGAACATGAACCTTTTCAAGGCACTTAGACTCTCTCTAGCATAAGAAAAAAATTGCTTAAAGAAAAATATAAAATTTCATCAAGAAGAAAGCATAAATTAACTATTTGTCTCTGGCAAGCCTGTGAAACTACAAATCAAAACAGTATTCATTAGGATTATGACACTGATTATTCTACAGTCTTCCACTGCATGCAATTGAATATAAATCTGCATTCCATTTGCTGACTACACTCGAGACCAAACAAAAAGGTAACCTCTCCTCATTTATAAAAAACTTTAAACATATTCAGCAGTGATGGTTACTTGATCTTTAATTTATGCTAAAGAGAAAAAAAAGTTAAAATACACAGACAATTACCTTTTTTTTTTAAACATAGCCTCAACAACTCCAGCTTCTTCACAGAAGAGAATCTCCACTCAAAAGGCTCAAAAACCCAAGCAGCCAGGTGAAGTTGTAACCAGACTTCATGAAAGGTAAGCTGTAATAATAACTATGTAGTACAACAGAAAACCCCATTGCTGAAGATTCAGCATGGAAATAGCACACCAGGTATCATAAGCAGGAGTAATAGTCATCTTTCACAGTTCATGTTGTAGATTAGAATTTCACTCTTTAGTGAAATTAAAATATTTGCTTGAAGAATATTCTTAGATTAGTTCTTCACTCCTAATGTAATGAAGAGTAAAAATGTAACTTCTTTAGCTGACACATTTAGTAATGAAACAAATTCACTTTAAGAGGATGTTCCCATTCAAAGATTCAAAAGCAGGCCTGCATTATTAAAATGCAGCTCTGTTTGCTACCAACTATTTCTTTTTAAGTAATAATCCTTTTTATTGTTGCTAACATTAAATTACACCATGGGACAGAAACAAAACGGATTCCTTACAGTAGCACAGACTAGACTGAAATGTAAACAAGTTTTGTGACAGTATTTTTGCCTTCTTTACTCAATTGCAGTAATTGCCTGGAAGTACAGCAGCTGCACTTGAGAATCAATGGCATAGAACACTATGAGAAAGCTACAACAGCAGCAGAATGCTGCTATTATGAGAAGTTTTCTTACTCTGTATCCTAGAACATTTTTTGTCTAACGCAATGCAGACAGAATACAAACAATGATGGACTATGCTTCACAATTCCATGGAAAATTCTACTCACCGTAAAATTAACTTGCAACCGAGTCCTATCAAGGTTTATGTATGTGATTCATAGTTTAGAAGTTCTTTTTCTTGCTTAAATTGTATTTTATTCTATGTATCTTATCTTTAGGAAATCCTTTGTGGCTGCCAAAACCTGCTGTTCAAGCACATGTGATAAAATTATCCTTTCACATCAATATGTACCCAGTAAGAAATCTGCCCAAAGAAAATCTGCAATCAACATCAGAGACAGAAATGCCAATGATTCCTATGCAAATGTAAGACTTTTGAGTGAAAATTAAAAGCCACACATCTTTCTTGAAAGGATTACCTCCCTACATCATGGCACTGTAGAACATCCCATTCTTAGCAAGCTGATTACTACAATCTAAGCATGTGTAGTGCATTTGAGGGTAAGACAAGAGGGAGCTCAAACCCCAAGCATTTTGGCTTATATGTTACTATATTTCTTCATATAGGGATGTACAGACTTGTTCTGCAACTCAGTCCCTGTAAAAAAGGTGAAATAGACCAAAAAAATAGCACTGGATCTTCTCTCTAGAATTGTGTTTCATATACTGAAAGAGTCTAGCTAGACAAATCACTACCAAAACCTAAAAATAGCACTGGATCTTCTCTCTAGAATTGTGTTTCATATACTGAAAGAAAGCCTAGCTAGACAAATCACTGTCAAAACCTCAAGAAAGCCTTCTCAGTACCAAAAACATTCACCACACTGGAGCTGATACATTAGAAAGGTGTAAATATCCCTCAGTTCAAATGAATACACAAAGAGAAATGATTAACAGATACTTCCAACTTGAATCCTAGAACAGTCTATTACATGACTCAATTTTTACTTCTCAACACGTATTCAGAGTGAAAATCATGGACAAAACCTTAAACATCATCTTTTTTCCAGGACCTGTGTATACATTTGCCTTCACCATTAACAAGGCTCCATTTTATTATTTCCAACAGGTTTTAAGTTCTACTCTGGATCATGCCATAGAGACAGCAAACAGTTTGAAGAAAGCTACAGAGCGAATGGTACAAGCAGTTTCAGAAGACCTAGCTAAAGTTAAAAGAAAGCAGTTTTAATTATCTAGTTCAAATGCTATATTGTTCTGCTGAAGTGTTAGTATCTCTGCAAAAATCAAATGATGAACACCAACATGAAAAAGTCAGCTAGCTAACTTGGTCAGCTGTTCTGTACCTATTGGTACTAAACCAAATCAGAGCACATAGGTATTCCACGTTTATACTCAGTCTTAAAACTATAAAACAAATTAGTAATTCTACTGAAAGTCTTTAGTAGGTTGGCTAATCCCATTATTGTGCACAGATGCCTTAAGGCAACATCATAAAAATTGGCTTAAACGAGCAAAATTAACTGACTTCGATTTCCCCCCACTCCCAAGTATGAGAATAAATCTCAGTCATTACTACATATAATTTCTTCTCACACTTCAACAGCAGCTGCTTAATTACACCAAGAGAAAACAGCCTCTGTACCTGAGACATCTAGAAACAACTATCATGTTAACATACCAAATCATAGTCAACATTTGGAATTATTTTGGTTTTTGAGTGCCCTACATTGAGAGTTGTTTGGTTTTAAAAAACATCCTTGTATGTTGCAATGACTGAATTACACCATTTGTTGTTTATGTATTTGTAGCAATTAAACTGGTTCCTTCAATTTGATGTCCTTAATTTGTCAGATATATCTGGCTTTGACATTTTAGCTGATGCTAAGTAGGTTGGAAAATTTTAAAATACTGTAGAAATTCAGTGAGCCAAGAAAACTCATCTATTATTTTCCTTGTAACATCCATTTAACTGCAGTGATTAAAGGCAAGCAGTTAATAACCTTGTTTTATCAGGGATGCTACTCACTGAAGCCAAAGTGCATAAAGACTGATGAAAACCAAATTAGAAATGCCAGTACATTCCTTAAAAAGGAGAGCCATTTTCAGGCAAACCTGAGCAATTTCATCAGTGGAGGACACAGAAATAATGCAGACTCTGTTCATACAAGCAGTGATTGCTAAACTCAGTGTCATGTGCCACTTGCTCACTAGCCTGAATCATTGGTGTTTTTCAGGGCTTCTTCCACCCTTCACAGCCAACCCTTTTCCTCTTTAGCCTCTTATTGTATATCCTTATAAATTTATTTGCCTCTCATTATATCTGGTTTTGCTTTATTTAGTCTAATGTTCGGAATCTCCCCATTCATTGCAAATGAACTTACTAAATGAAGTAATTCCTGCAGCTTCCTAGATTCAATTAAAAAAAAGATTCATCTCTTTCACAGAAATCTCTCCACATCTCTAGAACAGCTTGTTATAAACCTTTTGTTTATCCTGGATCCCTGCACCTGCTGTCCTGTACCTGACAGCAACTGCCTAAGAAGGATCAGACTGAGTAAGACAATCACGTAGTGAAATTCTCAGAACAGTCTCTGGCAAATTGAAGGCCCAGAATCCTTCCAAATCAGCAGTAACCTTTGTACTTACTAGCCCTACAAATACTTAAACATATAACAATTTAACAATATACCATATAACAATTTAGAGCACATCATTACTGCATGACATCTGGGATGCTAAAGGTCCTTTTGTTCTGATTTGACAGCTGCAGGTTTCACCTGTCACTTCACACCCTGAACAGGAAGGCAGCCCTTCACTCTGAACACTAACAGGATTTCTGAGGCTCCATCAGTTCCAGAGAGTTATAAACTAGAATTCACAAAAACAACACCTATTTCTGCTACATTTTTAAGGTTGTGATGCACATGGCATTTGATGAACCAGTTGATTTAAAAGTGTTGCTTTTGTACTCCTATTGAAAAAAAATTCAGTGTAGCTTCAATTCCAGACTTGTTTAGGTGCATTTGCAAGCTACAGCAACTTATTCTCCTCACACCCCATGTCCTGCAGCATTTTAGAATCATTCTGTCATGTCCTTCCCTTTCATTCCTCTCTGATGTAGGGGGAGAACTTGACTTTTTTCCACCTTCTAATTAACTCTGAATGAACAATTAACTCATCTAACAAAAATGTTCTCCAAGTTTTGGTCAACCTGGGAGCAAAAATAAAGGGAAAAAAAAACAAAAATCACAGAAAAAAAACCACTCATCATTGGGAAAATCTAAACAAAAGGACACAAGCAATCTATTCTTTTTCATTATAACATTTCTCTTGGATTCTACATAAAACAAACTAACATTCCAAGGCACATAAATACAACATCCTGTTGAAAGTTCAGTAATTTTAATTCAGTAATTTTTAAAGAGAAATCTAAACATCACCAGTATTACAGAATTCATACACTTTTATTTTTTTATTCCCTTCAATGCAAATTTAAGTATTTCTTTCTTAGTATATAACAAAATTTTTTAAAAGTAAATTCTTTGAGTGCATCAGGTTTTGTCATTTTGTTTGCTCTGTGCTTTTTTTTTTCCCAAATTACCAATCCCTTTGAAAGACTGAGCTGCTTCCCTTTTTGTCCTGTCCTTTCCCTGTGCCTCCACTTCACTTCCTCAAAGAGACACATGCTTAGTTTTGGAATTTCTGTATCACAGGCAATTCAGCTTCTGAAAAAGACATACTACGTAGACAATCATAAGGAATTTTTAAAAAAGTAATAATCTCTGTATATACTTAAATATAAAGTGTACTTCAGTGCACAGTTGACAGCATTTCTCCAAAGTTACTGTGATTGGAACTGCTCAATAATTGTTATTAACTATCTACCTTACCCAGCACCATCTAAAAATATTAGATTTTTCACAATGGCACATATTTAAAGATTTTTCAGCAAGTTATTTTTACAGAAAACATTACACTTTATGACACTGAACTTGTATTAAACATTTTTACCATAAATCTATATTTACAAGTTTTCTCTAAAAGTCCCTACCCAAGAGCCTAGGCCCTTTATAATTCAGTCATTTAGAAATAAATGCCATTACAGAAAGTTTTCACAGTTCTCAAAGACAATTCCAGTTTATATATAATTACAATAATTTTTAGCATAATTAGTTAGGAACAAACAGGCTCTTTTGAAAAAGCACTTGCAGTGTAATACTAAATAGAACCTAAGAAACACACATGTTCATCTTTTCCATCTTTTCATCTCTCTGCCTTCTACTCCCCCAAAAGCAGCAAATTTAAATTATAACATGACCTCCCATTAGGAAACATGTATTGAAGTGCAGGATTTGGAAAAGTCAGTTCCATTAGAATATGTACATACTATTTGTGTTTTTATAAACATCACCAGATCTATTCATCCTTAAGGCAGACCATATCCTTGGGTTTACTAAGGCTCTTCACATCCTCTAGTAGTTTTCTAGGTGTCAAAATATGAGTAGAACCTACAAAAGAACGTAAGTATGAACAGTATCAGTCAAATTCTGACTTTCAGAATTCCCTCTTTAAAACTTCAGTTACAGTAAGAAACATTGGCATGTACCTGGAAAACTGACAAGTGCAACATTTCAAGTGTTTTCACATAAAGCACCATCATGTAAGTGTCACCATTAGGTAGGCAATGTCCCGCCTCCCACACTCAGACATCCAGATCAGGACTCATACTTTGAGTATGAGTTTCAAGTCTTGCTCTGCCCTGTTTGGAAGACAGGACTGAACCTGGCCAATTGTCCCAGCCTGCAAGAAACCTGCCATTCTGTGAAAGGGTGACTTAATGAGAGACTTTAGCCTAGAATCAATAAAGTATCTGGATTCAAGATTATCACAAACAGTAGTGTTCCACAGACATACCAGTTAGAGAAAACTGGCTTTTACTGACTAACATTTCCTTGAAGTATCTGGATTCAAGATTATCACAAACAGTAGTGTTCCACAGAAATACCAGTTAGAGAAAACTGGCTTTTACTAACATTTCCTCAGAAAAACAAAATTCAAGTCTTGACCAGCAAAGAAAATCCTTATTATTCTTCAGTGCACAACTACCTCTCTTATTCTCACAGAGAGTGATTCTAACCTCTGCCACGATCTTCAGTGCACAACTACCTCTCTTATTCTCACAGAGAGTGATTCTAAATTCTGCCACGAAGAGTCACCCTGCGTTTCTGAAGGCAACAAGTAATGTCACTGTGAATGGGCTACTAGTCCTGGAGCTCTGAATCAGGAACACAGACAAATGTTAATTTTTCAGTAATCCATGTGGAAATTTGGCCTATCACCTCTAACCTCTGCCACGAAGTCACCCTGCGTTTCTGAAGGCAACAAGTAATGTCACTGTGAATGGGCTACTAGTCCTGGAGCTTTGAATCAGGAACACAGACAAATGTTAATTTTTCAGTAATCCATGTGGAAATTCGGCAACTATCACTTTCCCTCAGAAATCAGGATTACAAACAAAACTACAAGAATCATCTCTAAACAAAAAGGAAGATGGTGCGGTGGTGAGTGCCAGATACCCCAGTCAGAGAGTCACCTACACTAAACATGGTATTGTAAACAAGCTTCAGATGAAGAAATAATCTGGTTAAACTACATTCCTGTTGTCCTGGTCTTTCCATTACTACTCAGAACTAGAACCAGCATTAAACCTACCTCAACCACCACCAATGAAACCAGCAAATAAAAAATAAACTAAAACAAAACCAACCACACACAAACACACCTACAATACCCCTGAACATTTTGATGTAATAGACTCTAGATTTCAGCCATCAGCCAGCCCTGCAGATGGACACAGGTCTGTGGTAAGGTTTTGTATCTATGAGCTCTGTTCTTATATATTATATATATATGTACAACTTTTAGCACCTAATTATTTCCTGTAATGCTATTTAAAATTCATTTGAAGCACAGCAGCTGATGGAACAACGCATTTACTACCTCTAAAGTGCTGAGAGATTACTACACCAGCTGCCAATTGCCAAATCTTAAGCAGGGCAGTTTTCAGGACCTAAGCAGTTAATCATTGTGTGGTTTATGCAAAGCTTCCAAGTAGCCATGACAGAAACTAGAAAATATTTCAAAGTCAACTGAACTACACTGAAAAGGGGAGTTGGAGTTTATTTATTTAGTTTTTTTGGGTGGAATATTAATTAAGATTGTTGGGGTTTTTTAATACTTATCTTCCTTCCAAAGTGAATAATTTTGCACTAGTCTGTCAGCTTTCCTCCTTCCAAAAGCAATGAGAGTAGCAACTGCTACTGAAGGTAAAGCATAAGCAGAGGCAAAAATTTGTGAGGAAACTGTAATACAAAGAAATAGAGGTCTCTTGAAATCCTGTTGGGTATACACTGACATGTCTCTGACATAATTCTTCTGTAGAGCATAACTGTTTTGTCCTTAATGTCTTGTGGCAAAAAAATCCCTCTGAACATCAAACACTTGAGATAACCTGCAAAGATGCTTTTAAGTGCACAGTTTTCAGAAATAGACTGGCTACAGTATTAGTGTGGAGACCCAACAGAGGGGATCTAAACAAAACGATTCTTACATTTTCCAGAACCACACGTATTACAGCACACACCCCACTCTTTGGCAAGCTTACCAATAACAACCTCACAGGACTTGTGGGCCTCAGAAACCTCGTAGGCGCTGCGCATCTCCGAGTACGCGAGGCCCCCGAGGACAAACACGATCAGCCTCGCGCTGCTCCTGCGCTCCTCCCTCTGGCTCGCTCTGGGCTTCTGCCGAGCGCTGCACGAGATCCCAGGAGATGGCATTTATACAGATTGCCTAATTAATTTTTGGTTAAAATTATACAACAAGCAGTAGCCATTTCTGTCACTCAGTTCATGGCTTGATTATAATTTCAGCAGAAGTATTTAGATAAATTGATAACTTGTTTTTATTAAATTTTGTAAATTATCACATTACTCTAACGGTTTAGGTATCACCAAGGAAAAATAAACACAAAACAAAAACCTTGTTGCACACACAGCTAACATGCCAAGGACTCCTGCCAAGCAGCTTAACTCTGCATGCTCCCAATTCCAGTGGCATTTTTCATGAGAGGTTCATTTGAAAAAGCTTAGTCTTAGGTTTTTCTATCTCTGAATATGAACAGAATCTCTAAAGAAAACATTTGCTTGTTATCAAATCAGATTCAGATACCTAGGAAAAACAAATGCAGCCTAAAGTGCTTAGAAGTCTAACACACAGGTTAAGTCATCTGCAGTCCTGATCTCCCTGCTAGAGTGCCTTCAAGATTCCCACATCTCACCAGCCTCTAAGACAGAGATCAAGTTCCAGTGTACAGGGACTTGCTCTAGTATTCCCTTGCACTGATCAGCCTAGTGCATATCCAGAAACAGAAGGATATACCACCAACACTTTCATTAGAAGTGGATGTAGAAAAACCATTTTCCTAAGGCTGTGTATCTCTGCTTTTTGGTTTTTTTTTATTTAGAAAGAAACAAATTCCAATTCAAGTGTGTCTTCCACATTTAGGATGTTTAATGTTTCCCTCCCTGAATTCCAGCATCTGATAAGTGCAGCGAGCATTCCTGAGCAAGGAACTCAGTTAACATTCCTGTGATAGAAACATTCTTGGTAGTCTTGATTGATTTGTCTCCCCTTTTAAATAACACTATAAAAAGTGATAAAGCTCTCCAATTGGCATGTATTGGTCATGAGGTTCAAGAGCTAGTGGAATTAAAAAGAGAAAGAAGGAACAGTATAGGTGAGCTAAAAAAAAAATTGAAAATTCACCTCTAAGTGATAATCATTAAATATGCAATTACACATTTCACATTCATTAACAGAGAATTCATTCCAAGACCTCCAACTGTCCTGGACTTGCCTAAACCACTCCCTGGAAACAGGGGTCAAATGCTTAACAGGCCCATATTTCCTAATGAGAGAGACTATAGAAGATGAATTTCATTTCCTGAGGTAATTAACCCCAATAACGTCACCACCACTAACAGAGCAGAGATAACTTCCAGAAGTAATACATTCTTTTTACCTAAGTCACAGTACTGAACATTTATTCCTGAAACTACTGCACACTAATAAGCTCAATGGCTTAAACTTCTCATTCTGGGAATATGAAA